AACTAGTTACTGTGATGTTTGAAAGCTGAACTTTATGACACATACAACTAGTTACTGTGATGTTTGAAAGCTGAACTTTATGACACATACAACTAGTTACTGTGATGTTTGAAAGCTGTACTTTATGACACATACAACTAGTTACTGTGATGTTTGAAAGTTGTACTTTATGACCCTGACTGCTAGTTCAGTGTTTAAAAGCTATACCTTTTTATTGATTCCTTGTTAAGGTTAAGCACAAAGCTACACAATGGTCTATCGAAACCAGGATTCTAGCGTTGTAAGTCCGTTGACATACCGCTGTGCCACTGGGGAGCATATCTTTTTACACTGACTACATAATATATTTAATTGCTAAGACTATTGTCCACGAATAAAGTGATTTTGTAATTTATACATATATATTGATCTATCAATCATATACGATATAAATCTCAACTTCAAGTATTTTAGTTGGACATTAAATAAGCAAAATTTTTCATTTGAAATTTAGAAACAAACATGTTTATTGATTATCAATAATCATTAATTATATTTACCACGAGCTATGACCAAAATAACTACAGGCAGGCTCCTAAATGTAACAGAAAAATATATGTAGAGGTTTTTGGTTTCCATAATCTAGTATAATTCAGTTTGGGTTTGTTTGTTCTATTCTATCTATTCTCTGCCCACCATGAGCATCGAAACCTGGTTTTTAGTGATATGAGACTTCGGACTCACCACTGAACCACAGGAAGGGGTTTCGGTTAGCACTTTAATCAGCAGATTTTAATTAGCTTTAAAAGCTACTAGAATTCGTTAAATGTTCACGTAAAAAGTCTACATAAAAGCTTATTGCACTCTTAAAAGAATCGGTGGAACGTTTGCATGATCAAATTAACGTTAAACGGAAACTGAACGTTTGGAGACGTAAAAAGATCTAAATTTTTACTACATTTTACATAGCTTTCTACAAAATATTTCGTCGACGATTCCTTTTATAAATTCATAAAAATTTCAACATCTTGGTGTATGAAAAACAAAATGGATTCCAGTTATATATACATACTTTCAAACAACCTAATTTACTCTTGAAAGTGGGTTTATTTTATTTCTCATTTCATTTTTATGCTTTATTTCATTGATAAACACGCGACAAAATTTCGAGTTAATTAAAAAGACACTTTTTAATGTCCTTATAATTTAGCATGTACTTTTACAACTTGTAAAATATAAATAAATAGCAATGAAATAAAATATCTATCACAATAAAAAATCCTTTTTTTCTTATAATATTTTTATTATTGTAAAAAATACCAAAATTTTCTTCCGCTTAATTAATTGTAAGGGTATTTAGATCTTAATAATAAACTAATTGATTTTCTAGCTCAAAAATGCAGCTGCTAATGTGCTACGAGAAACTTGGTTAATTTACAAAAACACAAAACTGGTCAAACGCGTCAGCACAGGAAAGGTTCGGACACACCAGAGGAAATTTCTTCTAGCAATTTACAGGTGAGTGAAATTATCTTTTTTAATACTTAGAAATAATTGCAATACCTTGAAATTTCACAAACAGCGTAAGATAAGTAAATCTAAAATACTTCCAAAAGTCGTTCTAGTATCGAACTGAAAGGTTTATGCTGGAAGCAACATAATTACAATTTTTAGTTTCAAAAATATCTGTAGGTGTATCTAACCATCGTGTAATATTATTTTATCTTGAAATTCAGCGAGGTTATCGTAAGAGCTTAGCTAAAACGTGAATGTTAAAGTCTTAAAGGTCCAACAGAGGTCACAACCAAAGCTAAGGAAATTTACGATAATAGAATAAATAATATTTGTTTATTTATTTCAGAGCAAAAACACATTGGGCTATCTGCTGCGTTCACCGCAGGGTATCGAACTCCGGATTTTTGCGTTGTAACTCTTCAAACTTACCGGTGTCTCGCTGGGGGACAATAATTAGTAATAAGTGTTGTTATATAACGTCCTTTTTGAACAGCTGTTAATAATTCAGACTTAGTTTTTATCCGTGTGGAAATTGTGTAATCGATTTGACCAACTTAGTAACATCTTTATTATATAGCTATAATATAATTATGATCTTTAAATATTATTTTACTTATGAAAGAAATATATATATATATTTATTTAACAGTGTTTAGTCTTCTAGCAGTTTCTGACATATCATATCTCATTATTGAAGTTTAAAATGAAAGATATGAATGTTTGGTTTTCTCTTTCTTCATAGTCTTAGGAAGGTGAAAATGGACCAACGGAAGTTACTGGACAATTCATCGACCATCACGGATATGGCAAAGGTAAGCGATATCCTTTCCTACCAATTACGAATTATCTGACGTAAAAGCACGTGTAGTTTAGTCGATCATCCTTTCTAAAACAGATGTCCATTTTTGAGTATAGAATTAAAAAACAAAGTATATGTATGTATGCAATAAGTTTGCGGATTTTGGGGATTATTGTATCCAGATAAAACGAGGCTCTTTTAACACGAATAATAATATTCATCTACTCTTTGACAAAGGAAAGACTAAAAGGCACGTAAACAAAATATTGAACAACTTGAATAACTTCGGTTACTTACTTTAGTTTTTTTATGTTTTGCCAAGTATTCATCACGACTTAAAGTTAATTGTTTGTTCCAATATTTGGGTACTGATTTGCGGTCTATATTACTTCAAACAAAATCTTAATCTACCAGCTAGAACTGTTCGTAGGAGACTAAAATTCTGTCGGGTTTTGCGACAACATGGTAATAAAATGGTTGGTTTTGTTGGTCAACATGGTAATAAAAAACGTACGCAATGGACATTTTGAAAATTCTTAAAATTTGCCTTACAAGCAATTGCACAAAAGTTGTATGACTTACTGAATAGAAAGAGATCATCTTCTAAAAACTAGAAAATCTGAATTTGTGGACTTGAGAGTTAAAATCGTCCGTAAGCTAATTTCATTCCACAGTTATTGAAATGAATGAGTAACGATCTCAAGTCAGACTTCAATATTAGAGTACAAATGTTCTAAAATACCACGATTTGTGTTACACATGTTTAAACGTTATCATATCTATAAATACGAGTAGAAAGGGCCCGGCATGGCCAGGTGGTTAGGGCACTCGACTCGCAATCTGCGGGTCGCGGGTTCGAATCCCCGTCACACCAAACATGCTCACCCTTTCAGCCGTGGGGGCGTTATAATGTGACGGTCAATCCCACTATTCGTTGGTAGAAAAGTAGACCAAGAGTTGGCTGTGGGTGGTGATGACTAGCTGCCTTCCCTCTAGTCTTACACTGCTAAATTAGGGACGGCTAGCGCAGATAGCTCTCGTGTAGCTTTGAGCGAAATCCAAACAAACAAACAAACGAGTAGAAAGTATTGGCTTTCTGCTTTTTATAAATGTATTTTTCTAGACATTTTAATCGCATTTAAGTTCGTTTGTGTTTATAGTCAAATTATCGAGTTAATACAAAATTCAATTCGTTTTTGGATCATTACTACTAAGAGATTATGTATACTTTGATTTTACTCTATCAAAACTATCAAGAAATGATGTATACTCTGATTTTACTCTATCAAAACTATCAAGAAATGATGTATACTCTGATTTTACTCTGTCAAAACTATCAAGAAATGATATATACTCTGATTTTACTCTATCAAACTATCAAGAAATGATATATACTCTGATTTTACTCTATCAAAACTATCAAGAAATGATGTATACTCTGATTTTATTTTATCCAAACTATTAAGAAATGATGTACACTTTGATTTTACTTTGTTTGAATTCAACCTGCTAACACAAATAGTTATTTTTTATAAATCTTCCACATTCTGGTAGATATCACACATATTTCTTATTTTGTGATCTTTTCCATTTCTATCCTTACGACATTGCCGTTTTGTGTGTGTGTGTTTCTGTACTATCACTGCCACAGTTGGTTTGTACTGAGGTTTTTCCACACACGTATTACACCCACATAACGTTTTGTATTCTATTCATCACTGATTTATGAAACCTTTCTATCCATCCGTATATAATCACCATAACTTTCTGTATTCTATTTGCTACTGAATTAATTGGTTCACGATTCCTTTCCTTCTATTTATATACAATCAACATTACTTTTTGTATTCTCTTCGCTATTGAATTAATTGGTTTATGATTGCGTTTTCTTCACACATATACAATCAACATTACTTTTTGTATTCTCTTCGCTACTGAATTAATTGGTTTATGATTGCGTTTTCTTCACACATATACAATCAACATTATTTTTTGTATTCTCTTCGCTACTGAATTAATTGATTTATGATTGCGTTTTCTTCACACATATACTATCAACGTAATGATTTTTTATTCCCTTCACTACTGATATGACACGATAATGATTGTTTTCTCAACAGCATCCTCTTCACTATTAATTGGTTAATGATATTTTTGTATTCTATTCACTTCTGACATAACTAATTCGTGATATTTTTTTATATTCTAATCACCACTGACATAACTAGTTCATGATATTTTGTGTATTTATTCATTACTGACATAACCATATCATGATCTTTTATGTATTATCTTCACTACTGACAGAACTATATCATGATCTTTTATGTATTATCTTCACTACTGACATAACTATATCATGATATTTTATGTATTATCTTCACTACTGACATAACTATATCATGATCTTTTATGTATTATCTTCACTACTGACATAACCATATCATGATCTTTTATGTATTATCTTCACTACTACATAACTATATCATGATCTTTTATGTATTATCTTCACAACTGACATCATTGGTTCATGATTGTATTCTCTCTAGACACAGACCACCGTTTATGAGATTGTGTCCGACATCAATCAACGCCAGGAGATACTTGCAGAGAGAGTGACCTCTCTAGAAGAGAGACTGGGGTGTATTCAGGAACAGCTTGACGCACTCCCTGAATTGATCACACGCTCATTAGTCCAGCAGCTGACACGCACCGCACATGGCACTCAGTCTCCTGTCAGCCAACCTCAGGCTGCTGAGAAGAGAAACGCTTACCTTCATCCTGATGATGCCGCGACTTTGGGATCACGACATACATGGTCATCTGTCACGCTTCCACCTACACAGACTGGACGCGGGGGTCTACTTCCACCTATGGTGCCTCGAGCAGGTTCAACCGAGAACTGAAAGGTAAAGGCAGTGGCAGTTAAGACACAACTGTAATACGTCAGAACGTCTATACACACATCGGCTTCACTTGGAAGAGTTACACTCGTACACAGTGCGATACAGAAGTTCTGTTGAATTTTGCAGTAGTCGAATAAGCCTATTAACCTCAATATCACGATAACATAGTCCTATGACAGCCTTGTCGTGACATCACTATACAACACCGATATATATTAATAACGTAATGTTAGAGCCAGTGTGCTTCAAGTCATAATCTCAACACCAGTATCATGTAAAAGGAACATTGTTCTCTACGTTAATAAAATGTAAAAATGTGAAGTCATCGTCAAGATATGGTATTTTTCACATTCACATAATCCTGGCCCTGTACTATCGATGTCAACTTATCTCAACATCCTTATGTCATAGTTCTGGTGCAACGTTATGGAGATCTGTTCCACGCAACACGATTGTAACGTAGTCAGGCAACTACTGTTGTTCGTATCTTTCTTTAACCGAACATTGGTATAACGTAGTTAGTTTATTAGCGTTATTTAAATCTTCTAACACCGACATCGTTCTTCAGGCTAAAAGTCTTAGTTACTTCAGTAACTAAATACAAGTAATATGGTCTATTCGAACAAGCGGAAGCGCCCAAGTCTGTTGAACTTAATTAGCATCGTTTAAACCTAACAAAGTTATAACGTTGCCAGAGTGTCGTCTATGGCTGTTGGACTCAACATCCAGCGTCGTCAGACAATTATATTGTACCTTAAGCGTCATCTAGCTCTATTGAAATCAACATCCGAATAACGTTGTCAAATCTACAACGTCATCAGATCATTATGGTGTCGTCAAGGTCTATTGAAATCAACATTAGTATAACATTGCAGGGCAACATACAACATTATACATATCTTTTAAAATCAGGTTGTCAAGGATCGTCGAAACCTGCAAAACTTAACACTATCAAGTTAAAAAATAATGTTGTTCGGAACTTTTTCTTCTCAATATCAGTTTTACATACTACAAAGGTTACTCGTCACGTCTATTTTATTGGAATATTTGCTTGTAGTGAATTGATTCAGCTGTTGCAACATCAACGCTTCAATACAATAGTTACTCCCATAGAACAAATATATATATATATATTATTAAACTGAACTTGTCGTAAATGTGTTCTTAGTTTTATATTTGGAACAACCAGAATATTGAGCTACTTCTATTGTAATGAAAGTAGTACATTTTTCAGCTGAGTTCGGATCCATCGCTCAACACAGAACTTTTATACTTTACATTCAAGTTTGGTGTGTCACAGAATATTACTTTAATAATCTTTTGGCAGCCTTCAGTACTCTGATGAACCTCGAAGCCGTACATGGACGTTCCGAAGATTCTGAAAGTTGGTAATTTTTTTTATCTCCAAAAATTATTAAATTTAGATGAAACTTTGAATATTTTGTTGCTAATGTTAATCATTTATCAGATCAATATATGTTTTGTGAGATTTGTAATTTTAGCATAAAGAACATAACGCGATTTTCCTAACAATGGTAATAACATGTGGTTTTCTTACATGCCTTTTAGTATTTTTTAATTATGTACTTCGCTTAAAATAAGCATGGTAAAAATAGCTCTGTCCAACAATCAAGATACAATTATAACTTAATTACTAGATAAACAACAAACACAGGATTTAATTTTGTTACAATGTTAAATCTACCACGGTCCCAGAATGGAGCTTTGTGATTTCTCTCCGACTTTTCAATATTTCCTACTTCTTAACTTGCTAATCACATCCATCAGATGAACCATACTCAGATTTCCTATTGGTAAGGGAAAAGTCCACGTACTTCAGACCACATCCTAAGTCGTAGATCTTAAAACCTTGTTTTGACATCAAGACTTCAAGGAATTTTGTCCTGATGAAAGTTAAGAGCAGTGGAAATATTCAGATGTAAAACATTTACGTGCTAAGGAAATGATATTCTAAAATTACTCTTATATAATCTTGCGGAGCCTAATTTCTTTTAATGTTTTAAGTTTCTGTAAAACATTTTTGCCCTCCAGTGGCACAGCGGTATGTCTGTGGACTCACAACGCTAGAAACCGGGTTTCGATACCCGAGGTGGGTAGATCACAGATAGCCAGCCCATTGTGTAGCTTTGTGCTTAACTTCAAGACAAACAAACTATTTTTTTAATGTTTTAAGTTCTTATAATATTAACATTATTGTTAACTCAGAAATACTAAGCTCTATAAAACAAAGCTTGGCAACATTTAACATCCAAAACGTCCATTTGGTTATGTCTAACCCACGCAATATCCGTATGAATAGTAGAAAAACAGATTAAACTTTTAGAAGATTCGTAATGAATCATTCTGATTTTGAGACCTTAACGACGTCATTATAATATTGCCCAATCATAGGTGAATCTGACAAACTTTAGGATTAGAGTGCCTGTTCTTAATTATTTGAAACCTGTAAAAGTTCAAAATTTTGCTAATAGAAAAATTCAAGAAGAGATCTGAAAAATGTACATGATGATCTCTAACCCATTCAAAATTATTAAAAAATATATATCTATCCTTAACTACTTCCAAGATGATGAATTGTAGAAGAAGATGTGTGAACAGGACCGTCCACTGATTATAATCATACTATAAAAAACCGTGTGGGATTCACTATGTGTATGTGTTTACAGATTATGCCATCATGAACCTAATCCTATTCGGTTACGGTTACGGTGATAACGATATAGCACTTAATTGGAGGTGCAAACGTACTTATGTGACGTCACCAGTTGGTAGTGCTAAAGACACTTAACACATGTTACTACACTCAATATCTTGAACGATAGTTCCTTGTAAACTGTCAACTAATCGAGATTGTTTTTTGTATGTTTTGATGTTAACATAGAGGTGAACTGAGTCTTGAAAGAAGAAAACTATTTTTGTGTATGGATTGAACATGTGGATCTATTGAAGTTGCTTGTATAGAACAAAAACCTGTTATAAAACGGCTGATTCCCTAACTTTGTTTTCTGGCTAATGCCAGACTATGAAAACAGTAGAGTGGTGTAGTTATTACTAATAATGATGATTAAATTATGATGGACATACTTACAGTATCGGTATGTCCCTTTGGATCAGTTATGCAGATAAAAGTTGTTTTTTTTCTAAATATCTCGCATATGAACGTATATTCTATATTCTATAGCATAAAAAGGTATATTTCTGTCTCTTTGTTGTCAATAATAGACCTGTCAGAAGAGTTTAACAGCAATACAGACTATTGGACCTTTTTTTTGTAGTGTTGTGTATCGAAAAAAGTGTAAGCAAAATTCTATAGAATTTAGAAATATACTACAGGTCCTACTCTTGACACAAATAAGATGTTTAACTAATAGTGATGCACAGAGAATTAAAGTCTATCCATAGAAAGCCATAGATATTTTGATTATCATAATATTTTACTCGTAATTTGTTGTTTACAAAAAACATTTTCATTTCTCTTATCTTTATGATTATTGTATTTGTAGAATTGTTTGCATAGCAATATATTATTTATTGATGAAGAGGCGCAATATATTAAGGCATTGTTGAGATTTCTTCGTTAATGTTTAGAGAAGAACACGTCTAATTTTAAAATATGATTTTTATAATCCATCGCAAAGATTGGAGTGTCAAGAGGCACTACTTGCTCCCCTGGTGGTGCATATCAATCCAACAGTAAAATATTCTTCACAGCCCTGTGTTTAATTAGACATGCATATACCATAGAAGCTCTTCCAATTCATCGGGGAGAAATATTCTCAACTGTTTGCTTTAGATATGCATATCACGTTGACGTTTCTTTGTTTCGTGTCATCAACCTGAACCAAAACATAATCATCAATAATCTGTTTCTTTTTTGGGCGAATTATGGCCGATGACATTTCATTTATAAATTTGATGTGCACTTAAACGTGAAGACGTTTTCGCTCTAATAGACGCGTTGGTTTGTTCATTTGTGTAAAAAGAAGATATATATATATATATGTGTGTGTGTGTGTGGAACTATAGAAATGGCATGGAGGAAAATATTGGCGAAAAATACAATGTAATAAATTAAACAGTCTCATATTTGAGCATTAACAGTTTTACTCGCAAAAACCTTTAAATAGTTTAGTTAATATTTTATTCTCATCATTACGATAAATGACAAGTCGACTAATGGATTAGTTTCTTTTTCAGTTCGGAGAGCTATTAGAACCACTGAGGAAATATCAGAGAATTTCGTGAAAATATTGTATAGATAAACAGCTGAATGTAAACAGCACGAATTTACTTATACTAAATTTTAAGTATTAAAAATAAATATTATAAAATAATTAAAGTTTGTCTTTTTTTCTGTACTTTCATCAACTGCCGCTAACAGTATTTATTTGCCAAAGTATTTCAACTTGTTTCGAGTCATTTGTTCAGTCGAATCTTATTAACTGTTAGTTTTACATATTTGTTTAAATATTTAGTCATTGGCTTGAATATTTAGATAACAAATAAATAGAAGGTTAAAACTTGTGTTATAATAAAGTGTTATACTTAGATATTTTTAAAATATTGAGAAAAATGTTTAATGAAGAATTGTATGTGTGTGTGTGCTAACTATTCGAAAGCGCTAAGTTTTGTTTTTCTGTTATTTTATTTCATTGCACCTTTTGTGTGTGATCCTGTATACTAACTCTTTTATCAGAATACATACACACACATATATTTACAGTAGATTTGCTTTGTTACTTAATTAAGCCTTTGCGTAAAATAGGCTTATTTCAGACGATAAATACACATATTACTTCATAACACGAATGCCAAGCGAATGCGTTCTTTTCATTGATAGCGCTTACAGTTTTCCGTTCAAAACATGAAAAAGTAAAATACGCGTTATGAAATTTAAAAATGAAATATGAATTCCAAGACTTTATATTTCAGTTATATGTATATGATTCAACGGATTATTGAATCAAATATATATATAGTATTACCTTGGTTTGACCTGCAGAATACCATTTTAAATAGCTCATAGTGATGTTTCATACTTAGAAAGGAAATATCTCATACTTACAAATATTTCACTATGTTCTTGTTTCTCTGTACGAACTGAATATTCAAATAGCTTGTTGTGATTTGTATGCTCATTTTTATAGCCTTCCAGTATAAAGTTCAAAGAAAATTCATACAGACTTCCTACGCGATGGTATAATTTATCAGGCATACATGTAAATTCTATAAAAGTGAATTTTCATATTCAGTTATTAGACCAGCGGAAATTCGCTTCAAAACCATGCTTAGAGCTGATTATGTAGCTTGTAATTTTCACGCAGAAATGTCTGGTTGTTAACGTAGTTTTCGGAAACAAACGTATGAGACAAGAAACATAGCTGTCAGCTATCTCTAACTTGTGTGTTCCCATAGCAACAGAGACAAATTTGGACCAACTCGTAGGCTATTAACGAGTATGTTAAGTGCGGTAGTGTCATTGGAAGATATAGCATTGCCACACTGTGTAAATCCGCTGGTAAAATAAAAGGTTCTATACAAAACATTAAAGCACGAAAGGTAAGGTTACAGAACAAAATCATAAATAATTTTCAAAAGTTGAAAATATAAAGAATACAGGATTATTGGAATGGAGAGGAAAACAGACATACGGACAGACCATACATGGCAATAATTGATTGTTGATTTAAATCGTTATTAGAATAACTTTATTTTTTAATAACACAGTGTAGATATCGCCTAATATTATTTCTTTTGTCAAAGCTACAGTTTTCTTTTGATTAACGTAAGTGAAAGGAACGTTAGGTATAAGTTTTCGAAAATTACAGTGATTTAAGATAATTACGTTTTCCAAATAGGTTAGTTATAGCATATTCAAATATTTGAGCTTACAAGTAAACCCAAGGTGGTAATGAACAGCATTTTAAATTTAGTAAACTGGTGTTTTGGGCTGTTTACCCATATCATCTACATTTGCTGCAACAACATTTAAACTTCTAAAATTAGATCATATTACTGAATTCAAGTGGCCATTCTTCGTCTCGATATGTGTAATAAATGTAATATTCCCATAAAAGAAGGTCAAAAATGCGATTTAGACAGATTATACGATTCATTAGTACTCGCACTATGACCACTAAAGGTGTTTCGCACCAAAAAATAAATAAAAACGCAGATAAATTCGTTATTTTATTCTGTGTGTTTTAAACATTTCTCGGTCTTAGAAC